TTCAAATTTTTTTCTCCAACTCTAGTGAATTACTGGACACCCTATATTACGACAATCAAGTCAATTTTTGAGTCTTTCGCAATTATCTATTACTTAATTCATCTTCTAGTTACGTAATATCGCCTTTTTTCGAACTTCTTGAGACAAGTACAGTAGACTTCGAAGGTTCCAAAGATTACTTGGAATCAGCGTTCCGGTTTCTAAAAATGAGAACACAGCGGTTCTAGTTCGATTCCTAAAATATAATGTGGAATCAAAACCATTAAATTATCAGATAGATATAAAAAATTTTAAAATATTTTGATAAATTTTCACTATTGAATTGTTGATATTAAAGACAGCACATATTTACTGAAATCTTTAATAACAAGAATCAAAAAAATGAAGATTTCTCGATATAGATCTATGAATTTTTCTATCTATCTAATAGTTTAACGGCTCCAGTTTCAAAGCGGTTTTTTTTCTACAGTTCCGGTTCGTTTTTCAGCGGATCCAGTTTAATAACATTCGGTTAAACTTTTATTGAAATTAATTTTCTTAATAATTCATATTAATTAAAATATTTATTCAATAGTTCTGATTTTGAATATTTTTACATAAAAATTTTTTTTAACATACATACAAAAATAAGTCGCTAGTCATCAGACAGAACAAATTTATCTGAGATATTTTTCACCGCGACTATATGATTCAAATATGTGTTCGGGTTTTTTTTTTTATTGTTGATAATTTCCTAATGACATCAGCTTTATCATTTCGTCATTTAATTTTCAAAATTGCAATAGCGATTTTTTTTTCTCTTTATTATAAAAAAAAAAAAAAGAAATAACGAAGTAAGAGAATTATTTATTTGTAAGTGAGGTTACTCATGTTTCATACATCTCATATTCACTTTTGAATAAAGTAAGTTCTATGTTACGAGAAAGACATTCTTTTAATCATATTAATCATTTTTTTGTTGTTTGATTCTCTATTGATTAACAAATAATTTATTTGACAAAAATTCTGTTTTTATTGTTTCTTTAATCTAATTTCCGACTTTTTTTTTTACAACACAAGAGACGATTCTCTGGTTATGTCGGTTGTTTGTCTATGGAAACAATTGATCATTGCATAATTGTTATTAATATAGATATCTTGGTGTTTTTTCCTTCATATAAAATGAATATTGATAGATTTTATTTTGCTAATTTTCATTAATTAGAAAAATTGTTTTGTTTATAATAAAAAAAATAAGCGCCATCTATTGTAAATAATAATATTCTTATATAAAGGAGATGATATTTATTCTGAATGGTCGAAATAATAATCAACAATTGTATTGAGAATGATAAAGGTATTCGCTTCGTCTTCTCTTCCTGTCGTCTTGTCTCTCTCTGTTGCTCTCTCTCTCCCTCTCTCTCTCTTCTCAAAAAACTTTCTTTCCTAGGGAACGATATTTTTTTACGTCATGTTACTTATTCTTCACATTAACAATTCTTTCTAATATAATTTTAATAAAATTCATCTATATTTCTCTCTATATTTAAGCTCAATTAATTTGACCTTGATCATAGTTGATTACTAAGGAAAAGAAAAATTTTCCTTTTTCTTATTCGTTTATTTTCCAGATAAGAATGTAATGTAAAACACCAAAAAAAAAAAAGGAACATATTCTATGGATACAACATTTGATAAACTAGTGACTACTGATGCTCAATCAGGTCTCATTGTCACTCGTGGTATTCCTCTTTCTTCATTCATATCCGAAAATGTTATGAATACATCTAATGAAGAATTTATTCTTGATCTTAGTCAACGATCAACAACAACAACAACAACAGAAATAATAAATAAAAATCATTCAATTGATATAATTGATAATTGGGAAAATAATTCAACATGTAATTATACAGATTCAATTGATGATGATTTAAATCGAATATTAATTATTAATAAT